ACATTTAATGTGACTCTCATGGGCTGTTTCTCATTATGGCCAATAGTGAAATGGTGGTTAGTAACTTCAGAAATAAGGAAATTGATATAATGCCCAGAGAGAATATGTATTCATTTTTATATCAACCTGTAACTTGAAGGGACTGACATACAGATTTTGGAGGAAAGAAGGCTTAGAGAGATGGCCTTCAAGCAGGTGAAAAACAGAAATCCCATGGAAGTGGGAATTCAGGATTGCAAACATGCACTGAACACGTTCTAAGCACTGGGGATGCAAAGGTACTAAAAAGCTGTCTTTCTTTTCATGGTCTGGTGTCAGAGGCAGACGTGTATACAAGTAATTACAAAATGATGGGAGACATGCAGATACAGGAAGTTGCACAAAGTACAGATGTTGTATAGAACACAGAGCGATTAAGTCTGTCAGGTAGAATTGTTGTAAGAAAATGAAAAGGTTACAAAGTAATTTATTTTGGTAAAATAACCCTAAAATGTTAGGTAAATAATTTCTAGAAGTTGCTAAAGGGAAACCTAAGGTCTAATTTACCTTAAGTCAAGTATGTACATAAACCTCCCACTTGTAAGGATGTAGGTCAAAAACTCTTTGTTAGAATAATCACCCTTCACCAAAAATTATTCATACACCTACTAACTGTCCTGTACCTGAACCCAAATCACTCAGCAAAACTCGTCTGCAAGTAGAGCCATTTTGAGAGCGTACTGAAGAGATCCACAAAAAGGCAAATAATAATGATTTCATAGAATGAGCTCTGCATGCCTTGAATCTTCACAAGTTTGTTCACAATTATTTTATTCTTTTTTATACTGTTGTAAATGAAACTTTTTCTTAATTTCATTTTTGGATTTTTCATTGCTGGTATATAGCAATACAACTGATATTTGTATATTGATTTTGAAACACTATTGAAGTTGTTTACTTTGTTGTAATAGTTGTTTTTTGGATTGTTTATGATGTTCTATATAAAAGATCATATTATCTGAAGGTAAAGATAGTTTTACTTTTTCTATTCCAGTGTAGATGCCTTTTATTCCCTTTTCTTGCCTGATTGCCTTTAAACCTCCACCCAGTACAATGCTGAGTAGAAGTAATGAATACAGACCTTTTGTCTAGTTTCTGATTTGAGAGAGAAAACATTTAGTATTTTACCACTAAGTATGACATTAGCTTGAGGATTTTGCAGATGCCTTTTTCAGATTGAGGAATTCTCTTTCTAGTTCTAGTTTATTGTCATATTTTTTTTGTTATTTCTGTTTTTGAATTAAAACATTGCATTGCTTAAGTCTAACTTTTCTAGGAAGGAAGACATGTTTTTAATTAGCTTGTGGATTTAGGTGAAGAGCCTAAGAAACAGAATGTTTGTAGTGTGCCTTAGTTTCTATTGGCTACATTTAACAAGGTAATAGAAGAGAAAGATCAAGAAAGAACTTGCAGGTTTGTAAATGGGATTGACAAATGCAACTATTTTTCTTTTACAAACAACAACAAAAAGTAACACTGAGAAATGTTTTGAGCAATAGGCTGATTTTTAAAAAGCTTCACATCTAAGACCTAATCAAAATCATGGCCACCACTCCTACTGAATTCTCTGAATTGATTTGGTGGTGCCCATTAAAGCTTTCAGTTGGACGAAGTGACAGAGGGAAAGAAGTGATGATTAAACCACGACATGGCTAAGCTTCTGCTTGGAAGTGGTGTCTATCACTTCTATCCACATTTCTGTGCTAAAGAAAGTTGTATGACCAACCATAATATCAAAGAGACAGGCCCCCATATGGAGAGATACTGACAATCATGACAATGAGTGGTATGTATAATCATATAAGAAAGGACAGCAAATGATGAACAAGAGTATTAAAATCTGCCACAGTCTGTTCCTTTGGACAAATATTGCTCCCTCTTTTATGTGCACAATACTTTAATCTCTTCTTGAAAGAGGACACCTTAAAGTGTCATCCAATCACATTTCAAACGTAAAGTTCTGACTCTCAGATGGCTCCTCTTGATCCAGACACTTAGGAAGTAAGAAGTCCAGTTACTTGCCCCACGTGCCCAACATACAGTGGTGGAAGCGGAACAGGGCAATGTAGTCTCCCATTTAGAAAGGGAAAAAAATGGAAATTATACAGCAGTCACTGATTCACTGTAATTCTGCAGCCTCTGTGGGATTACATGGTAAAGGCCCCCTAGAGTGAGGACTGTTCTTTGATTGGACTCTTGTTCTGCTCCCCAGGGGAGCTTCTCATTTCATTGTTCTCCATGGCTCTGGGAGGTCCCTCCTCTCCCCTCCCCCATTATCCTCCTTGGCTACATCTGAAAAGAGCATTGAAAAATATGCTCTCCATTGTGGCTCAGGATGCTTTCTATGGAAGACTGGGGGCTGTAAGGTCATTTTTGTCTCAAACAGGCATTAAAAGACAAAAAACAAAACGAAAACCCCAACTAGGCCGGTGGCTCTGTGGGAAGTGCTGAAATCTTTACTATTTTAAATCTTCCAATTCTATGACCATGGGATGTCTTTTTACACATTAGGTCTTTAATTTATTTCAAAAATTTCATTGACAGTGTATCTTCTTTCAAAAACATAGTTGGCTCTATATCTGTTTGGTCCTGATCAACTCTGTGTGAATAACCAATTGCTCATTTCCTTTTTGAGACAAGTCTCTCTCTAGACTAGAGAACGGAACCAGTCATTAGTCAATCCATGGGCAACATCAGGGACCACGCCATACCTATGTTGTGAACATATTGTTAGAAGTGGGGAACTTATTGTATCAATAAAGATCATTTCCAAAATTAAGCCTATTTTCCCAAATAAGAACTATTCCTTCTGGTCCAGTGGTTTTTCTACCAGGAGTAATTTTGTTTCCCAGGGGACATTTGGCAACGCCTGAAGATATTTTAGTTGTCACAACTTGGCAGATGTTACTACCATCTAGTGAATACAGGCCAGAAAGGATGCTACACATCCTAAAATGCACAGGACAACCCCCTTCCCGACTCTTCTTCATCTCTCCAGCAAAGAATTATTCAGTCTAAAATGTTCATAATACCGAGGCTGAGAAACTCTATTCCTAACGTTATCATTGCAATGGAAGTTCATTAACTCTCTTGATAGCTCTCCGGAGCAAAAACAGATACGATGTTTCCCTGTTTATCCCACTAGCCAAATGTATGCTCTTCAATTTTTTCTTTCCCAGAAGCAAAAAGTTAGATCAGAGACAATATGAAAGCCCACTTGTTTTGATACTTGAAGGAATCACAATTTGGTTTTTAACCCTTTCATTGTTTTTTGACCACATCTCTATCCTTCATCTTATTTGTTAAGATTTCTTACAATGCATAATCTTTTTTTAAAAAGGATTTTATTTATTTATTTTTAGAGAGGAAGGGAAGGAGATAAGGAGAGAAATATCAATGTATGGTTGCCTCTCGTGAGTCCCCTGCTGGGAACTGGCCTGCAACCAGCCATGTGCCCTGACTGGGAATGGAACCGTGATCGTGTGGTTCGCAGGCCCCTGCTCAATCCACTGAGCTACACCAGCCAGGGAACAATGCATAATTTTTTGATCCCTACCAAAAATTCTCTGTCATGCGAAAACACATTCTCAATGTATATGGATTTTATATCTCCTTTTTAATTCTTAGTGCAAGCCTTTCTTGAGGTTCTTTCAGAAGGAAAAGTAGAGCTGGGAGGTCATGCTCCGGTTTATAATAACGTCTGGTTTATTGTAATTATCACTTAGTGCCCCCAAGAATGCTTCTATTGTCATTAAGGGTCTGTGAATAAAATCCATCAGGTTCACACTAACATAGGGGATATACTTGAGGGTGCAGGGGTGTTGATGTTGAGGGCCTTAGAGTCCTCAAAGTATCAAGGAGGTATTTTACTAAAAATGTGCAGAATATTTCAGACAGAGATCAGTCCAACAAGAGACAGAACATAGAGACAGGAAAATCACAGATGCAAAAATACCTATCAGGTCACCTCAGGTAGACCCATCCTCAGAGAGCAAGGAAGGCTGTGCTCTCTAAGGATCTAGGCTCTAGAAATGCTGGTTCAGTCCTAGTTTTACCCAGGTCACTAATTTATAGAGCCTAGGAAGGATCTCAGTGATTACAGCTGGAATCCGTGCCTCACTATGAGGTAAATTATTCTAATATTTCAGGTGAAAATATATAGAGAAATAAAGCAGTGTGATTTTTGTAAGCAGCATTTGCTTTCTTGGCTAGTCTCAAATGTCTCTACTACTTTTTTCAAAAAAGGACAATTCTACCTTCTAATAGAATTCCTGACTAGGCAGATCGTTTTATTAGATAGATGTTCTATTAACATTTTGCTTGCCTTCATTTCATACCACTTTCCATTTTATTCCTTTGTATTATGGTTGAAAATATATATGATTCTTATCTCTTCCTCAGGTTTTTCTTTATTTCATTGTGACATCTGCACATTAATCACTGTTTAGTCAGGCTGCAGAGCCTGCATTCTTTTCATGGGAACAAAGCACACTGCGCGGACGGCACGCCAGTTAGAGGACTGGGTGCTGGCCTGCAGCCTGCCGTTCTCCGACCGTGTGTCCCAGGACAAGTCACTTCTCTGCTTCGGTACAGTTAGGGTTTTACCCAAAGATCTTTAAGGGCTCACTTTCATCTCAAACAGTCTCTCTATGTCTAATCTTTTTTTTTGTATACATGAGAATAGTAGCATGGTAGCTAAATATTTTCTTCTTATTTTGCAACTATTAAGCATAGTGTGTGTGTGACAGTAGCAAAGGTAGGGCTGGAGAAGGAGGACAGAATGGGCTAATTAACCTGGGCAGACAATAAAAAGGTATAATAACCTGTAAACATAATGGTGTTAAAGAAGATATGCAAGTATTTAAATACCTGTTGGAGAAAATATGTAAGCATTCATCATAGTTACAAAATAGTATTTTCAGAAATGCCATTATCTCCCTCCCCCGGAAAAGATAAAGTACCTGCACGCTCTGACCAGCTACTGAAACAGCCATGAAAACCCTCGTGGTTTTATGAAGCAGGACAAGGCTTTGAAGCTTCAGCTTTAAATTGCCCTAGCATCTCCCAGCTGTAATGAGGACAGCATTTCCCTAGTCAAAACATCCTGGTTCTATTTATAGACATTCGCTCCTCTGAATAATAAACAGAGGTAGCAGGCTATTCTTACATCATTTTCCTTCAACTACCCTACTATTTAACACAATGCTAAAAATTTTTTTAAAATTCCAGAGCCACAGTACATAACAGTGTGCTGGTTAATTGCCAGTGGTCTAGTTAATTACCTTAGAGAAGATATTGCCCAACATCTATTTGAATAGTCAAAGTCTTGCAAAAATATTTGATTGACTTTTGTTTACCTGGAGTTTCCAATATCTCCCTTGCTAGTTAATGGAGAGAACAAGGTTTCAATCCTTTAAATGATTCCAGAAATATCCAGTCTTTCGAACTAAAGGAAGGCTGTATTCATCTGCTAGATAAACTCCCTTAGCTGATGTTGCTTTAAATAAGGATGGCAGACAATACAGCATCCACAGAGACAGCCACAATTCACTTCTATTCTTTTTCCAATGTAAGTTTGTATTAGGTTATTTAATGGACCACATTATATTCAGTACGTACAGAATCATACCCCCAAAAGGCTGGTGCTTAATTTCATCCCTCCAGTCTGTTTTAACTAAGACGTTTTCTCCTGTGCATATAATCTTCATTATCATAGAAGTTATTTTAAATTTATAATTAACATAGTCTCTTTCTCATTATGGACGCCTTGATCGATTTAGACCCTCCAGACACATCTCATCTGGCATGGTGATAGGGTGTCCTGCAGTTCTCCAAATGTGCAGTAGGTGTCTATCTTAGCCTTTCCTTCATCCTTCCTCCTCCTCTCGTCTCTGACACTGTGATATAGTGCATAATTCCAAAATGGCAGCTTTTTGAAAATTCACCTTGATTATCAGACATTAAAAGTGACTCATCCCGCAGTGACTGTCTGGCAGAAGGGATGGGATCAGACAGCAAGACAATGAGGGGACTGGGCGCATTAGCGCACTAGATTACAGAGCCCATCAAAAATACCTTTGTTCTGTCAAAGATCCGATCATTTACTACTTGTGTTCTGCAGAGGAGAAAGAATGAGAAGAAAAATCCATCAAGCAAACAAACAAACAAAATCTATCCATGAATTTCAATTCTTCTCTGATTGTTTTAAGAATGTAGGGAAGTGTCTGATCAACCATCTCAAGAGGAGGAAAGAAGGAGACTGTATTTCTGAAAAGGGAATCTACAGAACACTTTCTTTCAGTGGCTATCAAATTTTCTACACCAGATCTGTCCTTTACGTTATGGTAAGAGGAAAACTGGCAAGGTGTGAGGGTTTCCTCTTGCCCATGGCTACACTCAGCCTGATTCACAGCAGAACATTTGTAAGACAAAATATTTCACAATTAGAACATTCATTTTCATTGAAAGTAAAGCTTCTGATTTCTATCATGTCACATTATAATGCTAACCAAGAAATGTGTGATGGGTGAAAGAGGAAAGTATGTATAACAGCTATTTCTGATAAATACTTTATAAGCATCTAAACTGGCAAATGTAAAAAGTAAGTAGGGATCTTTAAAAAGATAGAGCATATGAATCTTGCATTGAACATGTGTGTGTTTGTGTGCAAAGCGGAGGAGGGACTGGCGAGGGGGAGGGGAGAGATGAGGGCATTCATACTGAGCCCCATGTGGGTGTATGACCGGGTGGGACGTGTGCTGTGTCCAGCATGACTTCGGGTCTGGCCAGCTTGTCACATTGTCCAAGGGGACAAAATACCTAAATGGGAGGTTGATGCCTGCCTTTCTTCTTTTTTTTCTCTTTTTATCATTTTCATCATTTCCCTATGAACTTAGAGGAGCAGTTTATCAGTCATGGAAAACGCCCCAAAGGAGCCCAGATCAAAGGCAGGCTTTGAATTGTGTACTTAGGTGGATTGCCCTGCCAAATACATCAATGAGATTAAAACACAAATTCCATAAACAATTATTTTCCATCTGTTTAGCAACAGTATTAGTGATGTTATTCAGCATCAATGGCATCTTTTTTTTTTTAAATAAAAATGTACCAAGTGAACGCAAATGCTCTTCTGCACATAAATGCTGCAGCATTTTGGGAGGATTTGGAAGGTCTTATCTGCCAGCAGGGCAGGAGAGTGGCTACTGTCACCCTGTAGGGAACCTCTTGATAAGAATGGTTGTATTTTAACTGACTGTCACTAAGCAGATAGAGTCATTAAAACAACTCATTGCATTCCACCAACTGTGCCTTACATGGGAAGGTTTGTCATTCTCTCTCCATTGTCCATATTCATTTCTACTGTCGGGTACAGAAAACATATCCCTCTTTTTTTTGCCCCTCTTAATTATCCCTAAATGACTTTTTCCTTTATTGATGAAGGGAGACAGATTTAGCAGGTTAGCCTGGTCAGAGTGCCTCAGTAACAGTTACACATTCAGAGAACCATTCATGTTTATTTGGATTCACAACACATAGCCTGAGTAGGGAGAAAGAAATCTATAAGCTATAAAAATCTCTGCCTAAACCCAACCAAGAGATTAAAGGGGAGGGCAAAAGGGGAGGGCCCAGACCAATTTCCACACACCAGTACTCCTAACATAGGGATGGATTCATGAAATAGAGACCAATGTAAGAGTTTTCATGGGTGGAATTTTAATGAGCCCTAAAGGTTAGGTTTCAACTTCGTTAACAAACAGCTCTAGAGATAATTCCCAATTTTCATTGTTTATAGAATAGTGATACCTTTGTCATAATCAAATTCTGAGACTGTCAAGAGCCTATTTTGCATGTCCAGCTGATGCTGAAACACAAGCCAACAGGAATTATTAAATGTGTGCTCAAGATCAAGTGTGGAAGAAATAAAAAGAGGAAGAAATTGTGCAAATTAAAACAGTCATATTGACCTCCTCTGATGAAATCAGTCAAATGCAAAATACTTTTTAAAAGAGAAAACCTGCATAGATATTTTAGCTGTTAAAAGGGTAATGATTAACCTAATATTTGGAGAGAGAGAGAGTAAACAAAAGAAGAAAACTTCATTTCTAGGAGTGAGAGACCAGAGTCTCTGCTACCTGTATTTCAAAAGTATAGAAAGACATACAGAAACAAAATGATGAAAATGACAGAGGATAGGTCAGTTTGCTGGGGGTATGTCCCCTTCCCCCTCTCCTTTTTGCCCTCTTCCTGCTCCCTCTGCCTTCACTGAACCCTTACAAAATTGCCATCATTGCACAAGAAGGAAAAACAAGTTTTTTTTTTTTTTTTTTAGGATTCCAGGGTAGAAAAGCTAAAGATTTGGCTTTCTGCAAAACTGATGTAGTGTTGGACAGAAAGTAAACCACCTGTCCTGAAAGGATGATCAATCTAATGGCATGGGGACCAGCAGTAGGTGCTTGAGTTGTTAAGTGCTGGGAGGAATATTTTTTAGGTTATTTAATGCTATGCTAAAATTTATTTCCTTCAATGAAACAATTCCCCTTTCACTCCCCAGGCTTACCACTTCCCTTCTTGACCTGCAGAGCAATTGAAGGGATTAAAATAGAACAAAACAAACTAGTGGTCTGAGTTTCTTGGACAGCCAGCGTGCAGGAGGTTAAGGAGGGAAAGGCCCAGCTGTGTGCTGTTTTGGTCAGTTTTTGGTACATCAATGGGCACAAGAGTTATGGCATTAAGGGCTGGCAGACCCGAGTTCCCATTTCTGTTTTGCATCTTACTTCTTATTCCCCCTGTAATCTTAGCAGGGGCAGTCAAAACTTTTGAATTACAGTTTTCTTCTAGGAAAAAAGGGATTAGTGATTCAGGTAATGCTGGAACTGGGAGGGACTTCAGGGATCATTTAGCCTGTTTTCCTCATTTTAAAGATAGAAAAGTAAACAGCAATAAGAGTAGTAGTGGTAGTAATAGTAGCAGTAGTAGTAGTAGTAGTAGTAATGATAATGATAATAATAATATCTTCAATGATTTAGTGGGTGCCAGCCACTATTCTAAGCTCTTTACAAGTATTATTCTATTTTCACAACAAGCTCATTGGGTGGGTAGTGTTGTTATTCCCATTTTATAGACAGGGAAACTGAAGTGCAGTGAGGTTCGATATCCAAAGTGATACAGCTGGTAAATGGTAGAGCTGGGTTTCAAAGCCACATAGCCTGGCTCCAGAGGTGCATTCTAGTAAGCTGTGAATTCCCCTTTTACTCTTGTTTGTACAGAGTCCATTCATTTCAAGAAATGGGTACACTGCCTGAACTAGTGCTGCACATGGTCCTTTTCAGGATCCCATCAGGGAAACACATTTTCTGGTTCTTATAATAAAGGATATGATAAGGAATACAGATGTATAGCTACATGAAGATATCCATAGGCTGAGGCCTGGAAAGGTCCTGAATACAGAAGCTTCTGTTCCCATGGAGTTGAGGTATGCCAACCTTCTGGCACATAGAAGTGTTCACCAACCCAGAGGCACTCTAGACCAAATACTTTTGGGACTTTTATGGAGGCTTCATCACTGATCGTGAACTCAGTCTTTACTCCCTCTCTTCTTCCCAGAGGATGGGGGTGGGGCTGAAAGTTTCAAGCTTCTAATCATAGCTTTATGGCGACCAGCCCCTATCCTGAAGTTGTCCAACATCTAACCAATTTCTGCCTCATTAGAACAAAAGACATTCCAATAACCCAGGAAATTCCAAGGGATTTAGGAGCTCTGTGGCAGGAGCTGGGGATGAGACCAATACATATTTTTCCTATTATTTCACAAAGGCATATACGGTCCTTTCTAATCTGGCCTCACTTGCCATTTCAGCCACTTATTTTATACCTTGACGTCCTCATACCTGCCATGCCTTCTGCTTAAGGTAACCACTTTCCACTCTCATCACTCCTTCTTCTCCAGTTGTAGACACTGTTCATCCATCTTCCAAGATCTGGCCCCAAAGTTACTTTCTCTGTGATGCTTCCTGATTTTTAGGCATTTTATGAAGTACACATGGTTAGAGCACTCATTGCACAGGATTATAATTATTTATTCCTCTTTCTCTCTTTCTTAACCAGGCAAC